CAAAAAAGTACTGGAAGAATTTTGATAAAATTACTTTGCTGTAGGGATAACTAAGTAGGTACTTGGTTCAATATAATATGCAATACTTTTACTGGGGTAAAATAATTCATCTCCATGTGAAAATTTAAAAATATTAAACTTACAACAAAATAAAGCAAATAAATAAATAAAATTTTTGAAATAGTAAATAAATATTATTATAGATTAAATCGAATTTAGTAAAAATTAACAAAACCGATTAAGAATTGTTTAACTATTATAATAATTATTTGATTGTTTGTAATTTACACAAAAAATTCTTTTTCTTTATTATTTGATGTGCCGATTTTATTATGTGGCTTATTATTTGACTTACCTAGTCAGTCTTCATTTTGTTATTCTATTTATAACTACTAATTATTAATTTTATTTATTAGCTCCATCTAACGGTGAACGTTTTAACTAAAATATAAAATGAACGCCATCTGGCTGTGGAAGCAGCGCGAGCGACGCGGAAGGCTCCGCTGCTCCCAACCGACTGAAGTGAATAATGCAGGCTTTTATAATCACTTGTCTATAAATACCACCTACACTGAAATTGAGAAGCGTGAACTAGATAGTATTTTGAGGTTTTTTCGCAGTAACGAAAGGCTATTTTGATAGCTACACAGCGCGACGCTCGTTGCCTATTACCGCAGCTGGTCGTTATTTTCGTTAGCCGTTATTCTGGGCATTCATGACGGCAGTATCGTCCGTTATTGCTGACAGATGGCGGGATTTGTATATGTTTTCTTTCTCTCTGATCTTAAAATTTGAATTACAAAAACAAAATACAAACACCTATCTGTAAAGCAACGTAAATTTTCTTAAAAAATTTGTGCAGAGCTCTACATTACCTATTAGTCTATACATATATGTACGTACTCTCACGTGGGCACAGGCTTTAGATATCGCAATATACTTACCTTACATAGAGGTACCTCTCCACAAACTTTAAAAAAAGATTTTTCTTGATTTGATTGTAATTTTTTTTGTTGCGTTACAACTCCCTCATTTATAAACCATTTTGTATTCTTTTTTATCTGAAAAATGTACTTTTAGATTGGTCCTATATAAACTTTATCGAAGTTGTTTCAGTGCTTTATTTTTTAAATCAAAATAACTAGATTTGCCACAATTGAAGTTGTTTTAAGATTAGGAGCTTATTTTAGAGATACGTACCAAAATAATGTAAAAGAACCCTCAAGATGCAACTTTGCCCATTTTTTCGTCCGTTCATGTGTTACAGCGCTTTATCTTATCGATTACGTATGCTATTGATTTGAAATTTAGAATAGTGTTCGATATTATTGGCCCACATATCTATATTATAAAAGAAATTATATTTTTTTTGTTTACAATAATTAAAAAAAATCTAATATTTGGTATATTAGGTTTTCTTTAATGATTTTTTGCTGCGTAGTTTTCGACTTGTGATCGAAAATGTGAAAAAAAATACTAATTTCCCTTTATCTTCAAAGTTTACGAGGCAAAAAATTGAAATATTTACGTATTACATTTAGTTTATCTATATCTTATATGTGAATATTAAAGGTAAAATAAAATGATCTTTTTTAGAAATTAAACAACACAATTATATATTATTATTTCAGCCACTGCTTGCCTTCCCCATAAGAGGAGTTTTGTCAGTAGTTGCCAAGTTTGGCAGGCGGGTTGGCAACCGCGGTTAGGCCTTTAAAGATGTTTTAAGAGGGACTTTGCTCCATCCCTCGCCCTCCCTTAGTCGCCTCTTACGACACCCATGGGAAAGGCGGGAGTGGCCCATTTTATGCCGGGGCACACACGGCGAAATAAAATTAGATATGCGATGCAGTTGTTAGCCTCAAACATACCTATCCCCTTATTCATAAAAACTAAAAAGTCCTACAAATCTATTTTAACTTAATAGTTAAACTTAAGACAAACACTTTAATAAGCGTTTGTCTTTCAAATTGAGAAATTAGTGCAAAAAAAAGGCCAAAACACTTCAATTGCTAAGATAGGTTTAGGATTTTTAGGTTTTTTAGGATTGACATTTTAAATTTTTACTTGTTATGGTACGCCGCTATCCACTCAGAAAATATTATCCTCCGTTCTTTGACAATCTTATAAATAACAAACTTCAAGATTGCATTAACATTCTTTACTATCTTCTAGGTGTTCTGAACTGACTTCAAAAAGAAGGAGATTTTCAAATACGATTGTATTTTTTTTTATGTTTGTTACCTTATAAATCTGTCAGTTGTAAACCAATTTGGAATATTCTTTTTTATTTGAAAGGATATGCTTACAGATTAATCCCATAAAATTTTAATCAAAATTAGTTTAGTACTTTAGTTATTAAATAAAAAAAAAACTAGTTTACTAAAATTAAATTGTTTTTTTTTTTCTATATAATTATTATGCTTATTAACACAATTACATAAATGTAATTGTATTAAAACATACTGATATGAGACGGTATGGTTTGTACGTTGAAAATATTTTAATTGAGAACACACCGTAATCGTCATAGTACTTACTAACAATGTAATCTTACATAAATAAAACTCATTCACCGAATGTATTTTAACGCATCATTTCAGAATGGCTACATCTATTTACTGATGAGATTATTTGTTTGAAAGAAAATATCGTACGAAAATAATGAAATTTTTGTTTAATAATCTGCATATAAAATAATTTGTAAATGAGTGAGAGGGAATATTTGGTCTTATTATCTTTATTAGTACACCGAAACCCGTGTAAATCCGGGGCGGGCAGCTAATATAATATATAATATAACAGTAACATTAAATTTGATTTCGGTAAATACATTATATCGATACAAAAACAAATGTTTTGCCCGGGAAACCATAAAAAATTTTAACCAAAACCTACGTGAAAAGATTCATAGATGGCGTTAGTTACTCTTAGATTGCAATAGAAAGTAAATGTTCTAAGTATTAAATAAAAATAAAAAAGCCCTTTATTTCCTTATCCTTAAGATTACTGTATCAAAATATTGGTATTTGTTTGTTTAAGTGATTATTAATGAATGTTTTGCTTATTGTCTAAATGTTAGTAAGAGTTAGTTTTGTTAATGTTTGGATATGGACCCCTCCTCGGGTGAAACCCTCCTCCAGTCCTTTCTACTCATCTCTGTACTTGCCGATAGTTTGCCAGTCCTTTCCTGTAAATTCGGTTACGTCATCAGCCCATCGTCTTTTTGGTCTCCCAAAAAAAAGAAATTAGAAGAAAGAAGAATGGGGGTTCTAAGTATTAATATAGTTATACTCGTAATAATAAATCATTCCTTTAGCTAATATTACAGCAATATTTTTTTCAACTTTATGCTTAACTTCTACTTTATTCGAAGAACACTTAATTACCTACACATTAAAATAATAATGTCAGCATTCTTTGGCAGCAGCTGGAATGGTCCCTACTGAGCCCATTAACTGAATAGGGACTATTACATGTACATATACATTACATACAACAAGAATGCAACACGCTGCATTATATGCAGCAATACGCTGCAACGCAGATTTTCAGTGGGGCCACCACTCAAAATGTAGTATTTGAGAGATAAAATCAAATCTATATTATACTGTTTGCTGAACCTTTATTTGTATAATATATACGACACAACAAGGTATAGTAAGGATATATGTTACGCAAATAATTGTGTAATCTGCATATAATTTAATAATATATTACGACATAATATGGATGTAATGTTGACAAGTGGCGTTAAAAAAGAATTAGGACGTTATTTTTTTACCCGACTGCTGAAGAAAGATGAATAAAGTTTTTAGAGTGTTATGTTCGAATCTCTGTAGCAATAGCATAGTCGCCTGTGTTGATATGACGACAAACTGTAATAAAATATACATAGACTTTTAAACACTTATTTCACTTTTGGGTTTTATGTATTTGGGTTAAGTAACTCTGTGAAAGAACATTCAAAGAAATCTAAATATATATATACATATAAAACACATAATATTTATGCAATCGTAATAGTTTTTGATCACCTGATTTCGTGTTCTCATTTTATTTGTGTTAGAACAAAAATAAAATGAGACACGCAATTAGGCGAAGAAATATTGAAGTGTCACTGTAACATGGCCACTACCACCTACACTTAAATGTCTACATTTTCAAAAATAAAATATATACCCAGAGCAATAATCTGGACAATAATAATTCAGTCTATTGAATATCCAATACCTATTAATATACCCAATATATAGAAGTAATATTTATTTTATAACCAGTAGATAGACACTAAGGTATGCAGTTACGTTTTACGCGCCACAAGAAAAACTGGTACCTACGTTTACAAGCCCAATTGGGTAATATATATTACCAATTCCGTTATTAATAATAGGGTAATTAATAATATAATATTTCGGATTAGGATAATCAACAACACAAATCTATTTTCTAATTTCCCTGTAGTTAGTTTTTAAAAGTATAAATATAGTCGTATTATATTGCAAATCAAATTTATAACTACATATTTATATCGTTTTTTTTTTGTTTTTTAACCACTGGACATATTACGGGTGCACAGTGCCATCTAGCCTCAAATAAGTAGAATTTGCACTATGCATACTGGACTACTGATGCTGTATGTATGTTACTTCTTTGTAAATATATATGATATTATACGTAGAAAATGCCCAAACCAATACTAAGAGATATTCATGTATACATTTGTATGTATTGAACGGGGATCGAATCTGCACAACTTAAATGATATTATATTGTTATCTTTTTATGTATATTAAATATTACGAAATATGTATATAGGTGACGGTTACCATTTTCCATCAGGTGGGCCGTCAGCTTGTTTGCCATTCTAAGTTTCATTGACAAATGTTTTTGTAAATAATTTTGATAACCAACAAGATTTGATCATACCACAGAATAAGGGTAGTTTCTTTAATTAGGAATAGGGTTTTAAAAGGAGATTTAATAATTGAAAATATATATTTTAAAATATCATACTTTTTATTATAAAAAGGTAATAAAATGGAAATAAATATCTAAATAAATATGTTCACTTATCCTAAATACTTAGGTACGTACAAAATCATAAGGCGCTACATGGAACAACAAGTCTTGACTTATATACCTAACTACAAAATTAAGTTTATAGACTTGTAAGGATTTACACGTCAAACGAGACTAATATATCATCGTTTGAAAGCTTTCAAATGAGGTTTATAGTCTCACAACAGCGTCCACACTTGGTTTTGTACAAAATTCTTATAAAATAATATCACTTGGTGCATGATGTGGCGAGTGGTTCACTTGCCCAAGAGGATCTTGCGGCCAGCACCTAAGTTCTGACCAGCCTGGGTGGCACCCTTGTTGGAACCAGCCTGTAATCCGATAACTGTCTGGCCGGCCTTCAGCACTTCCTCGGAGAAGTCACGTTTGCACTCGTCAGCGGGTTTGGGGCCGAGGTATGGTCCACTCCATTCGGCGTGTCTGTATGTCTGTATAATTATAACGTAAGAATATTATTAACTTTTTTTTACACAAATCAATTTCGATGAACTTAGTATAGGACCAATAGGAAGTAAACTCATTTAGACCAGAATCATTATTCAGAACGATTTTTGATGAAACTTTCTCGTAATAACATAAAAAAATTATTGAATTGAGAACGTCCCTTTTGAGGTCAGATAAAATTTTTACAGTACCTATATCAACACCGTGCGAAAATATTTGACAAACCTAAATAACCCCTTTCGGCCTCTAACATAACCACGTGGCCTTGGATATTTATGAAAACTGAGGTAATGTGGTACAAAGATCGTAAATCTTGATGAACTTGGCAAACTTCCAACTCAACTCAAATTTAAAACGTATCGCGCAAACATACTGTAAACGCGTTAATTTTCATAACGATACGAATCTATTTTGGTGCTTGTTGATCATAAACAAATATGGCGCTCATAAACTTTTCTAAAGTTTACGTTGCTAAAGTTTATGAACTCCTAAATGGTTTTCAGGTTTAGCAAAACTATCTTTATGTGTATACTATATATACAAATTCTTTTTCCATTCCATCATCAATGTTAAAAAAATCGTGAAAGATAGACGACCTATTTAGGTCATCATAAGTGAAGCGAGTTTAATCCCTGATCCTTTTTTATTTAAAGCGTAACTTAAGTGTGCTCAGATCCAGATCGAATTGTCTATGCTTATTGTTATTATCTTTTATAATTATCCTAAATTGATTATTTACCTCACGGCCCAAAGCAAAGAGTGTGCTGACGACTTGCGCGATGTCTTTCTTCTCCCAGAGGTCGACAGTCTGGAACACATCGATGTCAGGGACGCCGTACGCTTTAATGGCCGCTTGGAAGCTGTTAAAAAATAATACATTAATCACAATATTTTTACAACGACTTTCATACAAATTATTTTCTCATCTAACAAAAATAGATACTATCTGCATAGTTTAAATAGAAAATATGAATGTAAAAAATGGTTTCAAAAACAATGACTTCAGATTTAACAAAATTCATGAGAAACCAACACTTCAGTACATCTTATCGATTGTAATGGGAGTCAACAAAATCAGCGCAGAATTAAAAATGATAATATGGCATCGCTATTTTGTTTTTGCAAAGACTTAAAAAAAAAATTTAAACTCGATTAGGTAAATACTAAAATACCATAACGGCTACATAATTATGTTCTATGAGAAAACTAGGCCTAAATAAAAAAAAAATATAAATAATATAAAAAGTAAATTTACTCACTTGGTGATATTTTCCATCATCTTGAACTGTCCACCAGAAGTATTAATTTTGGGAACTGCACCTGGCTTCAGCTTGTTGATAAGCTGGCAGAGGACAGTTCCGTCCTTAAGGACATCCTCAAAAGCTTCACCAGGAGGGAATTTGGCACCAAGGACTGTCTCGATCCATTGCTGGCACTCCTGCTCTTGTTCAGGGTTGCGCTTGGCAGCAAGCTGAAAATTTTAATAGTTTTCGAATTATATAAATGAAATAAATAAATACTTTACCCTTTGTGAATGATATAAAAAATATCATATTATCATAGAATACTAAGTTCACGTATATGTAATTTTTAATGTACTTAGTTCTCAATAATAGTTAGAAGAATACAAAATCGTTTGAAGTCTTTAAAAACATAATAGAAACCTTATTCAACATTTGTAAAAATAAACTTAAAAGAGAGCTTATTAATAATAGTTAATATTCTCAATAATTTTATCAAGATAAAAATTTGTGAATTTTTTTAGAAATATTTTTTTTTATTATTTACCTTGGCGCGGACTTGGCGTTCCAGAGACATGTTGTGGTGTGTGCTTGTGTCTGATTATTACTAAGAGGATATAGTGCGCTTTCAGAAGCACCGCTAGACTGAACTCCTGAAAACTGAGTCCACGTATTTATAGCGCGCTCGCAGGCTGCGCCCTTCTGGAAAACTCGCGGGAGTCAGTAAGCGATGATCGGCCCGCTACAAATACGATTCTGACTCAACAACCTTTATCCAAAGTTGTGATACATTTCTTTGTCATTTTCATGATCATCTTTATCTAAATATTTCAAGCTATTAAATCCTGATTTTCCTTGGCATTTTCTTATTTCTTATATACATACTCATTAATTACTCACAACACGTTGTAGTAGACCAGGTGTAGGTGAAGAAAGATATGCAAATTATTGCTAATTGTTATAAAGTTGTCAACAATGAAAATTCTGAGTATGATAACGTTTACATTATCTTCACTGTTGTCGATAGAGAAACATGTTAAAACGTAACAAATATAATTTATTATAATTTTAAGAGTACATTTAATTCTTTGATGTTCAAAAAGTTAAAGTATCTAAATTCTCTTCTGTCATATAAATCGCGTTGATTAGAAATACTCTAAACAGCTTTAAGCCTTTTAATTGACCTACTACATACATACATATCAACCGAGCGATGAATGTGGATTAACTTCTCTAATGTCTATTAACATTATAACGAATGCATGATTTTGTTTTACTCGAAATAAATGTATTGTTTTAATAGTAAATTATATTACCACATACATATTTATTAATAATAAACACAATATAGTTATTTTTTACGGTTACGTACCTCAAAAAAAATATAGACCCCGTATAGGATCAATTCGTTGTCCGTCCGTCTATCCGTCCACCTGTCATGACCCTTTTTCTTAGAAACTCATGGAGGTATCAAATTGAAATTAATATCATATACTCAGGTCTTCAATCACTTAAAGCAGTGAAAAAATTAAGCTTTTAAATCGAAGTCCTACTTCCCGTTGACCTAGAATCATGAAATTTGGCAAAAAGCAATGTCATGTAACACAAGTAAAAGAAAAAATCCGCAAACCGTAAATTTGTAGTTATTTCACAAAAAATAATTTGTTGGGCAACTCTTACTCACACTTGACCGGCTTTTTTAATATTGTAAATAACTTAAACCTAAACTGTTATTATCGTTATTCGTAGCAAAGCATGTTATTTACTCAATTCTAATCTTGACTCAGCTAATTCATTTTTAGGTTTTAGAAATATAGATACTTTATTTGTTTATTGTTTTCTCTAAAAATTACTATAGTAAACTTATTACAAATACTGTTTAAATTAAAAAAAGAAAACTAAACAATGGGCGGCCAAGCTTAAAAGCGATCAATCTTCCAGTAACATTTGGATGGAAAGGAATAATTATAAACAGTTTGTCCTTACATTTTGAAATTCATCCTGCTTTAGATAACATGATTCTCATGCCTTTACTCATAATATCCACGATATATATTAGATAGTAATAATCTACTAGAATAGATAAGTAGTTAATCTATTTCCTAAATATATTAGTAGGTACATAGAATTTAAATTATTAAAGATATTTGAAAATCTATTAACAACATTACTGTTAATAGATTTAGTAGTTTACAAAATAGGTTTATCATTGTAATGCATGATAAACTTTATTAATTACACTCTAAAACTGTACTTAACATTCTTGTCAACAATGTAATTTATTGGATTAGATCTTTTTAAATATTGTTCAATGATATTTTGTACCACCTTCTATCTCCCGTAGCGCATTAAATCTTTAATCATTGAATAAAGTGGACGTAAATGTGCCACAAAACGCTTGTTTTATTATTTTACATTTGAAGTTTCCACATACTTCTTTGTTATCAAATTTCAAAGTTTATGTGATAATATTTTCGTATGATTTATATCTTCATTACATTGTATGTATTTTCGTGTATTTACATTGCGTGTGAGTTGTGCGTTATAATTGTATTATTTTATCAGAGATTATTCAAAGGTATTTGAAATAAATTGTTTAAAGGTTTGCAACTATATCAGTGTTACTGTTCCATTAATGAAACTGCCCTTCCACCATACCATCCTCGCTGTGAATGGCATAAAGTACGAATCTGAGACTAATCCAATCGTAACACATCTAATCTAATAAATGATCCAATACCTTTCACATTTTGTATCGCGTAATATAGCTATTTTGCGAATACGTCCAAAATACAATCAATAATGTTTTTTGAAGAAATGCCTTTTTTCCATCCATCTTAGTCTGCCCATTTTCTGTCTTCTTGTTAACGAATTAATATATGAATAAATTATATAAACAAATGTTTACTAGTACTACTAGTGTATATTATTTATATAAATATGCAAGATTGTTATCTCTTGGCTGTTCAACCGCTCTACCAATTATCATGAAATTTAGTAGACATATAATAGCTATTTAGGATAGAGGAGGATATTGGATACCTTTCATTTCTATTAGTCAATATATAAGAGGAAAAATTCGCGGATAAAGACTAGTTGTATTAAAATGCTTCCATAAATAAAAAAATAAACAAATTAAGCGTGACTAAAACACCACAGTTTGCCATAGCGCCTGAAACATGGGTTTGTTTTTACGCATGCGTGTACAATTTTTAAAGGATTAAAACCCGTGCGCTCAGGTTCTAATAGAATTTCTGAACATTCTTCAACTCAGTTGACTCCAAACAAAATTTCATGTTTCTAGCTGCAGAAATACATATTTACTATAAATCAATATATGTTACTTATAAGTGTTGAGGATAAAAATACATAGTATATTCCAACCAACAACAAACAACAGTTTCCTAAATGAGTGAAATTAAAAAAATTAGCATCCTTTTAAACAAGTGTTTTATCAATAAAATAATATTTTTCCTAAACAAAAATAGGTCTAAATATGGCAAAACTTTTTCGTTGCATTTTTGTTATTACAAGTACAAAGTATGTCTAACAGTTTCACCAGAGGGAGACTTTGTACAAAAGTCGATTGCTTGGGTACCTCTGTCCCATTCGTGTTTCAACCGTGAAGCAGCTGTGTTTTCATGGCTGTGTTTCGGTTTGAAGGGTGGGATATGGCGTGAATTTATGGGTACAGAGGAATAACACCTGAGTCCTCAGGAATGGCAACGCATGGGGGTATCATGGGTGAAACAGTATACTCTACTACGTCCATGGTACTGCTCATGTCTATAGGCGACGGTTACCACTTTCCATCAGGTGGGCCGTCAGCTTGTTTGTCATTCTAAGTTGCATAAAAAAAAAAAAAAAAAAAAATATGGGAGATTTAAATATATTTGGTGTTTTTGATTTATAGATTCTGGAAATTCCTCTCCTGACCCCATAGATAGAGATCTTAGTTTCACCCTGTATACTGGTTATTTTACTGCGGAATATTTATAAGAATTATTTTGTTATCCATCAAAGTCCATGTATAGTAAAAAGCTCTGGCAACGGCGCACTGGTCGCCGCCCACGCCGACGCGTCAGCGAGTACCCGCTGACTTAGAATTGTCGCCGCGCGTACACTTGCCCACGCGACTAATCATTAACATTCACGTGGCATATAAAAATAATTTAGTTATTTGCTTTCTATACCGAAACAGTTATTTTTACTCTGTAACGTAAGTATTTGCTAAGAACGTAAGTATACAGGAATGCGTAAAATATAAGTAGTCAGTAATAGCTGAGCTATGAGTTGATAGCGTAAGCATAGTATGACGGAACGTATCGTACCATAACATATATGCAGTGAAATCTTCTTTAGGTTTCAACCTATTTAAAAAAGAATGAGGTTCTCAATTAGGTTGTTTTTTATGCCTGTTACCTCAGAACTCCATTATCATCCGATTTGGAAAATTCTTTTAAAAAGGAAACTTAAACGTATTATATAGAAATTTCATCAAAATCGATTCAATGGTTTAATTTTAAAAACAAAATAACTGGTTTTGCCAATGACTGAAGTTGATTTTATTTTTTCATTTTTTTATAGCATTGTCTGTAGATAAAACAATAACAGTATTATATTTATCTATTTATACTTCTGCAAAAATTAAAAAAATTCTGCAGGGCGGACTTAATGCCTGGTGGCATTCTCTTCAAGCCAACCGTTACGCTAAACATTATTACTATAGCTCTGATAATAATGATTTTTGCTAATATAGAAGTTAACAAGCACATTACAATTAATTACTATGTACTTAATACATTCGGTATTTAGATTTTTACTCATATAATATTTTCCAGGATAAGGATAATAATGTCTAGGATTTAACCAAAATTAACTAAAAGCGACAAAACTGAAAAAATTTGTAAGAGAAAAATGTTGCCCAAAATAAAAAAAAAAAATAACGAATTGGAAAACCTTTAATAGGCACTTATACATAGAATCCATCCTTAAATTATTTTTCATTAGAATATTAATCTTTTTTAATTACGTACTTTCGACAGTAAGTATGTACTTGCCAGTATGGATTTGACTAAAACTGATTCCGAATTCGGTAATGAATTTGAAAAGAGTAACATATCATAAGACTATGTAAATACTCGTATGTTTTTTTAACTTTTAATTTAATTGTTATAGTTATTATTTATCGGACGCCAGGAACTGGAGGTACCACCATCATCTATTTTGTAATAATTATTATATTATAACATTAGTAACAGACATACAATACATTGGCCACCACTTTCTTTCCCATGGCTATCTCTATGTCACTATAGACTATTATGATAATTTAATGGTTGAGGAGTGGGCAGCAGCGTCCTTCTTAAAACATCGCTAGAGGCTAACTGTATTTACCAATGCTCCTGCCAAGGGTGCTAACTACTGGCAAAACTCCCCTTATGGGGAAGACTTATGTTTAGCAGTGGACAGTTAATGGCTGATATAATATTTATAATAATAATAAAAACAGTAAATTTTTTTAATAAATCACTAATGTACTCAAAAATATCTAGGTATAAATCCCTAAAAATTAAAAATATTTCGTCAGATTTATTCATCACTTTATTAAAACACCCTCCACAAATTCATCAATTTAATTACATACATGCACTCGGGTACATCACTATGTATTATTTACAAATTAGGTAGTTTAGATTACATATTTACAACATTGTTCTACACCAGTCTGCACTGTATATATCTAATTTAAAACTAGTACTTTGTAAGTCATGGAATGTAAGTAACGTAATAAAAAAAATCATAAATAAAAAAATTACATGTTTACTCATCAAAATATGAAAAATAACATTAATATGTAAGACGTCATGACTAGATTTTTAATATTTCGACTACAAATCCACAACATACCAACTGATCACTCTATACACTACAACCATAATCACAAAACTTCAATTATCACACTTGAGTAGGTATCTAATTCATTTTAGGTACAATTCATAGAAAAATTTGTTATTATAAGACAACAAATATAAAAATAAAATAATTATAAACAAAAACTATTACAATTATTATTAGTAAGTTCTTTTGTTTACAATTAAATGAGTATACTTCAATGACGTATACGATGGTTTAAAGTTCATATTTACAGACATTATCACACAAAATTTTATTTTATATTGATCTAATAAATCAATTAATTGATATCTAATACAAGAATTCTTAATTATACACTCTGTTTTAAATATTACACCTCTATACATGAAAACCTGTTCGTTTAGCGGTTTTAGCAATATAAATACATCTAAAACTTCGTTTAAAGTTTATTATTGCGATAATATATTTAAATGGACACATTTTGGCACTTGTGATTTAATTTCACTAGCGAATTCAGTCAATTTACCGTTCCATAACTAGGCATCAAGTCACTTTAATTTGTCACTCGGATTATCTCTTGGAATGTATATGTTGTTGAAAAATGGGATAGCCACTTGGCGTAAATAGAGGCGGTAACCACTGTGGGACTCCTTGCCAACTCAACTAAGTGTAAACAGTGAGCCAACAATGTGGTTTACACCCATTAGAAAAGATGGTTGTTCGTTTTAGCGAGAGTTCCAAGATGGTCGGAGAGCAGATAGTTGGGAGGCGCGACGCCGAGTAGGGGAAACCCTGAAGGCTGTCGCAACAGGCCACAGCCGCCGGCCCACTTGCCGCTGCCGCTGCCACTCACCGGTGGCACCCCCGCACCTCCACCTACTCCGTTCAGCTCGTCACATATCTTATTTGCTACAAAAAAAAAATAAAAACAATTAAATTACAGACTGATGGGTAAATAAAATATGCTTTTTCTTTATACACTTTATAATACGTAGACATGAACAGCTTCGATACCTGAACATCGCGTAATAGTGATGTACTTTTCATCCATACCATTTTTGAGGAGGGTAGATTATTATGTCCCTATACGCAATAATTTCATTGTCCTTCAAGCTACTTCTTGACAACAACTCACGGAAGATTGAGTAATACCCATGCAAACGACTACGTGTTTGTGTATTATGAATGCCATTTAAATTACCTACTACGCGATTGCTAACGTAACTACACCAAACAATTAAAACTCGTGCATACAAATCTGTTCGAATACAAAATCAGACTGCAGCTCGACGGGCGAATATGAAATAATCGTGGTAACGCAATTAAGCGCTAATCACCTAATCCTTGCCGCGTAGCTCCGTTGTTTATTCAAGCCTGAGTGACAATCGCGCGCACAATTAGCGCAAATGAGCCGAAGTGAAAATCTGGCGGCGCTTTGGCGGTGGCGTGCGGTAGCGGTGGGTGGCGGTGCCTAATGTGATTAATACGGCCGCAAGTTCCCCATTAGCCGGTAAACCATGTTGTGTTATAGAGCCTGGACAGCCTACTGACCCCACAGACCGGGATCAGCTATCGCATTTTGCTACATTACAGAAATACACTGTTGTTTGTCTCTGTTTGCCTTTAGTGATAATATAATATAAAATTATTTTCATTTACCCAACTTTTTCACAAATTTATCTCACTATTCCGTTTAATTGGGGCAGTCACCTCTTAAGAAGTATGTAAGTAAAAATATTTTAGTTTTCTCAAGTAATTTCTAGAAAGAAGAAAAAAACAAAGATTGAGGTATCTTACGACGAAATAATATTTAAAATGAACTTGACCTAAATTCCTTGTCCTATAAATATAGAAGACTCAAATTTAAATGGCACATGAACATCATTAACGGCTGTTACAATTTCATGAGTTCTATATTTATAAACTACTAATCGAATAGACCGGCATATTTATTCTGCGAAAAGCCTTGTTGTTTCCGCCCACGCAAACAAAACTTGTAAGCTAAAATAACGCAAACACTTTGGCTATTGGTAGATGTTTCTGAAGTTGTGAGTCATCAGTCTATAATTTCAACAATCAATGCAACAGCCGTAAGATTTCAGTTGATATGCCCAGGCCAGAAATATAACATTGTTTAAATTGTAAACAGCGCTTTCCGTTATAGTGTATTTATGACGCATTGGCGCCGTTTGATTTATTACATATACTAACTAACTAAACTATAACTAAAAAGCACCTTATTTAATAAAAAAAAATACTTCATCCGTATACCAAATTTCATTGAATTCCGTTAAGCCATTTAAATAACTGAACCACTAAGTAAACCTCAAAATGTATTTACAATTTAGTTCCACAAAAAAGGCAATTACTTCAACATTCGCAATTATGGGATAAGAACTTTATCGACTGCAAAAGAATCATTAAAATGCATATTACAAATGTATTTATATTATATATATATATGCATATCATGTTGTATATTTTCATTTGGATTCTTCTGCATATACATAGTAAGATCTCTATGTGCAGCCTAACATTAATTTATGTAATTTTAGTAATATATTATAAGTATTTAATAAATTTATTTGATATAATTGTACTCGTTGGATTAGTATGTAGTTTTAATGTTTTAATTTAAAAAATATTTAACTTTTCAAAATCAAATTACATTTTTTTAAATTCATATTGACACTACGCTAAATAACGACGTACTATACTCAAATGTCGCCATTAAAAATAGGCCTTTAAGAAAAACTTTTAGGTAATTAGAATTCCGTAGGCAAATGTTCAAAACCGAGCCGTCGTGGTTTCATAATTTTTTCTTCTAGTCTATCCATCTGTACGTAATAATATTAAAATGAAATCGAAATTTTTAATCAAGTTCGATTTTTTTAAACTACGTTTAGTGGATGCTTTGATTTGATCTATCAAAAATTTGGATTCGAACAATTTTAATTTACATTCAGTTCGTTCATCATTCTGCTTTATACTTAACTCATTTCTCAAAGATTTGCTATCTTCCAGTTGAAGTTACAGTGAAGAAGAATGTCTTAATGACTATATTAGAAACGACTATAGAAAAACATTGCAACTCCATCGAATTTTAGCTCGTTTAATTTCCTTCAATCCATTGTTGGCCAACAGACTGTGATAGACCTCATAAGAAAGTGTGAATGCAATCGTAAGATTTTCCTCATTTTTAAAGAATTTTTAACAACTTTAAAGAAAAGAAAATTACGCATGTTACGTTAAAGATAAATAAACTATTTAAGTGATTTTGCCAATTCCGAACCGACTTTGAAGATTTTTTTTATTAATATCGAAAAAAGTTTGTTCTATACTTATTTTATGAACGACATGGTGAAGTATTTTTACCAAAATTTGAAAAAAATATTTTTCATAAAATGCAATAATATTAAATCAAATATTGAAATGTTTTTCATTTTAATTGTTACTGAAGTGCCTTTGTTGTAGGATAATGTGATGTATTAGTTACTTTACATTAAGGATAAGATATTAAATTACCAAGTCAAAAGTTTAAAATATCTATGGAACCCTATTACCGCGTTTTCGACACTTTATTAGCAATTTTTTTATTGCCCACGTCATTCCAAACCAAAATAATCGAACAAAAATAGATATTACTTCACGGCATATAATACTCAGGAATATCAACATGTTTGAAGCCAACGAAATGCCGAGTAAAAATATGTGGTATGTCGCAATTATACTTAGGTATTTCAGATTTGGAACACTTTAATGTATTAATAAATAAATAAAAATAATATAATAATAAATGTAAATATAAATAATATAAAGTAAACGTGAAAGAGAAGTCACATATGAACTCAAATCAATTATATTTTTTGTAAATGTCATCAACAATCAACAAATACCTTAATGTCCTTAATTAATGGTGAGCATTTTTTTAATAATAATTCAAAAATAAAACGTGCTCGCTTGGACACATTAGCCTAAGAGCTAAAAAAAATAAACTACAAATAAATAAAAAACTTATGAGAACGCAAAACAAAAACATTTCTTTCATATGAGCTCCTATATCGAGAATAAGTGATACAGAGATGCTATGGAATATTTCACGGTGAAAATTATAATCCAGTGCAGCGAATCCAGGGCAGATCGACAGGACACTAGTCCTATAACTTTTACAAAAGTTTTCATTCATTCACTTTTATGCAATGTAGAAAAAAAAATTAATATTTGCTCATTTTAAAATCTTATAAGCAGTACAACTAACAACTATGACATGAAAGTAGGTAAATTATGTCCGTTTTCCCCTAGATTATAATCTTAATTATAATATACGGCAACAATTCTTAAAAAAAATTATGAATTATTTTTTTATACATATTTGATTGTATGTTTATTTAATTTCTAAATTAAACGACCAATAACGTTTAGAATGTCACATCTTCATATTGTTTTTTAAGTCAAAAGATATACAATAATACAACAAAATAAAAAATGAACGCTACCTGTAGAAGAGAGCTTTGGGGTCACGTTTTTCCGTCCGTTATTTTAAGCGTAAAATTAAAGATGCGCTCAGAATACTTTATCACGCACTTACTGCAATTTATAGCAGTGCGGTCTGATTTTATTGTGACTATTTTATTTATTTGAAACTGCTTATCTCATCGTCTTCTAATTATACTTCTGCATATTGAGTAACATTACAGTAACCAAAAAAGCAAAAATTTGTATTTGTTAACATGTATTTAACACTTTGATAACATACTTTTGTATAATATAGAACATTAAGTATTAAAATTTTTGTTCTTTTTTTATTTATTTTATTTGTTTAAAATTGTTTTTGATAATTTTCAACGAAGAAAATTAAATATTCTGACCAAAATATAAAATTTAAAAATTCATAATATTAGATTTTGTTTCACAAAAAAGCTACTTCAATTGTAGCTAAATTTATATGGAACCAACACAAAAATTAACCTTATCGAATGCAAATAAAATTATCAATTTCAGTCAAAATTGGTTATACTTCCATGTAACGACATAAAAAAATATAAGTAAACAAATTATGAAGCTCTTTTTTTCTCTTTGAAATCGCCTTACAATTAATGAAACAAATAACACTATCGTTTTTTTCTAGCACAATAAGTGACCACACGATATTTATTAAATATGCAAATGTTATGATTATTAAAGTACATAATATAGTAGTATAAATTGAACTGTTCGAAATAGAAATAAATAATATTAAGTATATAAAAAGTACAGTTACAATTATGATTAACATTTAACACAGTAATTTAGTATTACCTGCACAAAATTTTATTTCATTGATCTTGTATTAGTATTTTTATATTTAATACCGTATGAATATTTTCAACCAATTTCAAAAATAAGAAAGATCTCAATTCAATTATGTATTTTTTTTATGTTTGGTACGTTGGTCGGAACAATCCGTCAGTTATAAACTGATTTGAAAAAATCTTTTTTAACTGTAAGTATTTACTTACAGAGTAGTCCCATAAAAATTGTGTTAGAATCGCTTCAGTAGTTTAATTTTAAAATAAAAATATTTGGTTTCACCACCATTGACGTCAACTTCTTTTTCTAGAATACAACTTTAAATTATTTAAAAAGGTTTTTTTTTATATATGAGTATAATAAAAGAAACTACCTGATGACGTAATAGGTTTCAAATCGGGCGGAGATAAATGGGGCAAAGCATGGTGCGCTGGTTGTGGCGCGGAGGCAGGCGGCGCGGGATGCGGCGATGTCGCCGGTGAGGCAGGTTTGTCCCGTTTGCCTTCCGCCTTCACTGGAGCTTCGCCCGCTTTCTGCTGCGCTAAACGCTCCTGCTTACGGAACTTCGCCCTTCGGTTCTGGAACCATACCTGAAAGTAATTAATAAATTATATGAGATGTATTTTGAACTAATAAATTTGACTTAGTGCATGTTGATTACAACATGTACTGAATGTAAGTAAGTACCTAATGGTACATACTTACTTACGCTTAGTGCTTACTTACCTAATGATAGGTATTGCATTATTTATAGACCCTAGGGTCAATTCAAAGTTGGCACAATTTGGCAAATATATTTTAAAATTGTCTCGGCTCTAGACTTTTAGGATTTTTTTTTAATTGATGACAATGGAGTTATGTCGTCGCCTGCGCTACCGATACACGCGGACGGGGCACCAGTGAAGTATGATAGAAGACTATGAAAATAGGTCAATTGGCTCCTCGTAACGAATTTATCAAGTTTAACTTTGATGGTTTTCAGAGGAAACCGCGTGGACGTCGACCTGACAACGTATATTGTTAGCAGTAGGACTGCTAGTCCTCATTTCTAACAATCCCTTCTCCCCTCAGATATTCTGGACTGTGCCTTGGAAAACCGTTGGTCAGTTTCTTATAAATACTTATTTTTTGTTTGACAAATTGATCAAAGTTACAGATTTTATCCTTAGAAGACTTCATTCAATTCTCATAAAATTTATTTAATTTGAGTATCGAGAAAGTATTATGATTTCCCTAACAGAATTAGAGGTATTTTATGGTTACCATTCTAGCAAAGCAACTTAATATTCTCGAATGCAAGATCCAACCTGACAGAATTGAACTCCATCTCTGAAATTTATTAAATTTATATTTATAATTGGAAAAAAAATAATCGTATGTATTGTCATATATATGTTATTGTCATACCTATCTACCATTTCCCAAATGGCAGTATGCTAGACTGTTGCTATGTTGGGCTTAACTGTTGCTATCTTGGACTTTTTTAATAGATGATAATGAAGATCACTCGACTAGGCTATCAGTATACGCTGACGGGCCATCAGTAAGATACTCTGATTTAAAGCATATTCTGCGAATATGGACAAATACAGTGACCACGACTAGTATGACTGTTTCACCTGGTATTACGAGTACAATTGCGAGGTTAGGTTAGGTTAAACGTTTATTTATTTCCATTTTAATTATTTCTAACAAATGAAGAGAAAATATAATATTGCCTGTACAATACTTTATATAGGTAACATTCTATATAACAATAATCAACATTCTCTTCAAATTTCTATGCTTAACAGTTTATGCTGATGAAATAGTGAAGACTTCAAATAGTTTATATAGAACTTCTGTGAAACTTATAACTTAATAATTAAGATTGTGTTCCACGAAAAAAGTAGGCTTCAATTTTAGCAAAACCAGTTAATTTTATTTAAAAAGTAAACCCATAAAGCGATTTTTAATAAATTTATCTATAAGTATGTCCTTTCAAATAAAAATAATTTTCCAAAATGGCTTACAACTGACGGAGTTACGAGGTAAAAAATATAAAAAAAAACAAAGGAATTGAGAACCTCGTTCTCTTTGATGTCGGTTGAAAAACAGTAATATTACAATCTTAAATATCCATAAGCTTCACGTTACATTCAGGTATATAAATATTATATTACTTTATACCAACATTATTTTTTTAAATTGCCAATTAAAATATGAAGACTAATGAAGCGAAAAACTTCGTAAATAAAATTGTAAACAACATAAAGATAATGAAAACCATCAGCAACGGACGTGTGTACGAATGAACAAACAAAGTTAGCGCGCGACCCGACTAATGGGAACGCATCCCATGCATCGCGCGCCAAATTTTAATGCAAACCGTTTTATATTCGTTCGAGTGCGCGCAAATCCGAATTGATCATAATTCGATTTGGTGCGAGAGATAATTGCAACTGCCACTGGCGCTGATTGGGCAGTGTTACGAGTAAAAAATGCGTGGCAGGTATCCGCGGCTTCAGAGCTCCGGCGCGCCTCGTTGTCCGACCCGCTACAATCATACGCACGCCCTATTTGCTCATCGCTATGTGCGCTGATGATGTTTACTCACCTTTATGCTCCTTCATTTGATTGAAATAAAAGCTCTAACGAGTATTACTAGATAACCTACGATGGTAAAGACCTATTTTATACATTCATCTTTGTTTTTACCATCTCAGTTTCTTGTCGACATTTTAAAAAATGAGATATATTTAAATCAAACAAATCCTCACTCATCTCCTATTTTATTGTCTATTAATATGGTTTGTTAAGAGTATTAGAGTAATATTTAGTTATTCAGCACATTTTGTACGTTGCTGTTGATAAAAATTACTGACTTCTATCGAAATTTATTATTAGTTGTCACTCTAACACTTTACGTAAATAGAGAATAGGACTTGCGGTCACTTTGCTCATCATGTGGAAAATATATATCAAGAGAAATAATAAACATTGTCGCCGTAACACAAAATACATAATTCTATACAATTACACTACACCCACGAATGCAGACGTAAATTCTCCTTGGCAATGATCATGACAAACGTTAATGACCCAATGATATTCTAGAAAGATTTTGTATGCTTTATTACTGTTTAGCGAAGACACTAGGTGGAGACATCCAGAAATGGCTTTTGGTTCCAAAATATCTGTGATCACGACTAAACAAAGTGTTACCGCCAGATTGACTAATTCGTCATAACATAATTATTATCTTGGATGATCTACACAGTCATTCCCCTGAAATCCAGTGGGTTCCAGATAAATAAACAAATAGTAATAGTAAGGTAATTAAAATAATGTCAATTTTTCGAGTGGCGACAAGGTAATGTAAATACAATATATTATTTCTTCCTCAAGATTTCATTACGATACCGTAAGGAGCAAATAAAGGAATAGAACGAAGTATAATACCTACAACAGGGTATAAGAGAAACAAAACGCTACAATAAGACGACTAGCAAGCGTAGTAATAATAGGCTAATATTTCTTTTACAGAAACTAACTCGTGCTCAGCAATAGCACTAATGGATTGTAATGGTTATTTTATCTTATCTAATATAATAAAATTGTAACTAGATGAAGTTTTTTCTGCATAGGAGATATTTTAAAAATATATAAGAACAATTTTAATAAGAGCAATCGAAGCCAAAACAATAATTAATAAAATTTCTATCTGTATATTTGTTTCAGCATTACGTCCTGCTAGCATCAAAAACTAGTGCATGATTTTGTACATAGTTTTTACAGTTGTGCTCTTGAAGGTTTAACTTAAAATCTGATATATATTTTGATGAGCCATCTTGTACTTCCAAAATTCACACTTATGAAGATGCGAGAAAAAGATAATTATGATAATAAAATATTATTTTACCAGGTCTGCATAACCTTATTGATGGGACACGACCTCCTATATACTAAACATAGTGTGATCATTGACACTGAAACTGAAGATATATTGTTTCTGGTAATATCAGTATGCAGATTGATGCCAAGTGAATGTCAGTAAATGGCACAGGTGCGTCCCACCTGGAGTGATACTCATCCGCGTTTCTGTGTCAACTTCCCACTACAGCCATGTGTGACATTAAATCTGTTACTATGACGGACATGTAGAGCTCTTGATCCCATAATAAACTCACTAATGCAACAACTGTTATGATATACGACACATTCCCGTCGCGTTATATTATTATGATTATATTTAAATACTCAACCATAAATCATTTTGATTTAATTGCCCATTAGAAGCAACACGTCTTGATGACAAATAAATATTCCGTTATGTAATATGTGCCAGCTCCCGCAAGTAAGTTATACCTATTTATATGATTACATGCCGTAATAACACGAGAACATTTTAGAAACTTACATAGGTTCTTCTCCGCTATGGAATTAATTAATATTTACTTCTATACCTATCTTTTAAAAATTTATTATAATTTTGTTATGTTTGTTTAGAATGTTATGAACTTATGTTATAATTTTAGTTCATATAATTCTCGTTTAATTATAAATTACTAGTAATAGTGTCGTGACTTAGTAGTTCACTATAACCACAACTCAGGATGCCGCAATTGTATTGAGTTTATCCCTATTATTGGATCTAATTAACACCAAAACTTATGTTAAATAATTTTCTAATTTATTTCCTTGTTGTTAAAGATAAAAAAAAATGTGAAAAAGGTAGCTCGTTTCTTGTCACAATAGATTAAACATTTTTTAATGCAACTTAGAATGACAGATAAGCTGACGGCCCACCTGATGGAAATAAAGTAAACACGTTCTCCAAGTCTCATAATTAAAACTAGAAATACTTCTTTGTAGTCTGGAATCATATCCATAAATATTTTTTTCACATAAAATATCTACCAAGATATATATATTTATTAAAAAATATTTAGTTACTTGAACAATATATTTTTTAATATAAAAGGAACAATTAACTTCAATTACCTTAGTAGGTATTATTCAGTTCATTTAGAGAACAAATCAATATGAAGAATACTGGAGTTCATCATTTTGTTGGAACTAAGAGAAAATCAGTGCCTCCGAGTGGAAAGGTCCCACGTACGTGCCCGGCTTAACCAAGCGGCAAGGCTCGCCGGCATCGGCGACTAACGAACACACCAATACGCTTGATTGGAGCTCGCGACTCACGATGAGGCCCGATCGCCCTGAGCTCCACGCCTTCCGCATTATTTCCGAATTGGAAAAAATCAAAGCTACCAACGTATGCGGCATTCGCAAACAAACAAATAATACAAGAACCGCCGCCAATACAAATGAGTACCGATACGACGGCGAGCGGAATGTGAAGTCGAAGTGAAGCCGAGCGTGGGCCCGAGGCAAATAAACGTCCGCCGATGTGTTTGTAGGAATTTGTTACGATGTTTATCGAATGCGATGCGTGCTGCTAGAGTAAATATTTCATCAAATTTTGCGGCAGTAAATGCGACATTTAGAATTGATAAAATAACTGCGCCGATGCTATCTTTATCTGCCCATAACTTCTTGACAATTTATTTTAGTGAGCTTCATCGTTAATGGAAACGGGATAAAT